TTTTTTTTTTTTTTTCTAAATTGTTTCCTTGTGGTTTGGTCCCAGGTGGTGATGGTTTCAATATAGTTTCTCTAGAAGTTTTTTTCTGGTCCCAGGAGTCTCGGGTAGGCCGAAGACAGCTCAACCCATAACAAACCCTAAGTAGTCCGCAACGAACCATAAACAATCAACAAATTGATTTTGGTTGTTGCCTTTAATGACGCTGTTTGTTGATGATTGCGTTATAGTTCTACAGGATTTAGGCGTTTTCTCTTCTCTGGCAGGCCCTACATAGCTGAACCCACAAAACGATTTCGTGAACAAGCATGAATGAAAAAGGTATGCACCGTCAAAATCACTGAGCAAAACGTAAGTGTAGCCTGTAAACAAACCATACGTAATAATCAATAACACTATGCTTGACTATTTTGAGTCCTTGCTGCAATAGATGGTCCTCTAACTATGCAACCTCGGCACACTTGGCTTGACTAAGCTCACCGAGATGGCTTCTTGTTCATGCTTGTCTGGGACTGGGGGAATGGACTAGTTGAGGGCATCATTCATGGGTGATCATACAGGGACTCTTAAGCCTTAAGGCCTAAGCCCTGAGCCCTAAACCTGAAGTGCTATTTACACCCTCGTCTCTAGACCGCGTCAAAACCTTATGTTACATTAATCCCAAGCCCGAGACTGTAGCAGGGATCCATCCCTGGAAGCCCAGGTACCCATGTAGTAGGTCCTTGGGCTACAGGTAGTAGCCCAATATATAGGTAACTGGGCTTCTAGGGCATTCCCCCATTCCCAACTAGGAGCCTTGATGTCAGGCTGTCAGCTTCTTCGGATATCGGATTTACAAGGCCGACCGGGCTAAGGGTTTAGGGTTTCGGGTTTAGGGCTGAGGGTTGAGGGTTTTGAGGTGAAGCTTCAAGGTAGGATTTAGTGTTTAGGCTTTAGAGTTCAGGTTTCGGGTCTAGGGCTCAGGGTGGTAAGTTCAGGGTTCAGTGATGAGGAGTCCGTGGCATCATTGTCTAGGGTTCAGGGTCAGCTGCCTGATGTTCAATCCCATGCCATGCAGGTTACTGTCCTTATGATCAGCACCCCGAAGTAGCTGCGAAAAAGCTCCAGCAGTTTCACTTCTTCCCTCTCAGGCCTAGCAAAGTGAAACAAACAGCTTCTGTGGTAGAAAATGGTTTCACCTACCTAGTTGAAAATTGCGCTGTAAATCTGCCATGCGCGTGTCGATAGTACTGACTTCTTGGGTCCCCATGACATGACTAGAAAGCCGTCAGAATTCGGGGGTGTCCGAAAAAGGGATCGTGGTTTTGGCGCCCCTTCCACATAGCACCTCTGGCAAGCCGGCGGTTTCAGGGGCGCCCAGCAAGCTCCTCGTCAAGGCTTTCGGAAACAAGAAACTTGGCTATAGAAATAGGTTGTTGTTGACCAAGATGGACCTACCTGAGTTTAGGTACTAAGTCCTAATAGGAATAGGTTTGGGTGGTTTGGCCGCCTGGGACGGCGTGGGGTGGGTCCGCTGACCGGCAGGCAGGAGTCAGGGCGTCCCCTAGAGTCCCTTCCCCCAAAAAATGTGTTAGGTGGCCAGCCACTGTCTGACCACAGCAGCATGTCGCACAGCACGACACACTCGAAGCGATTCGGTAGCACAACCATCTCTGCTTCAATGCTATGTCACAGCAAACCCTCTGAACCCTGAGCCCTAAACCCTGAACCCTAAATAGTAGTTTCCATTTTCTTTTCCATTATCCCAACATAACCCCTAGACAACCCCTAAGTTCTATCTACTTAAGGGGGGCTATATACCCCCAACCCTAAACCCTAAAGGTGGCCTTCCCATTCTTTGCCTTCCTCGTGGGCTTTGGCCTGGAGGTACACACTCTGTTGAAGGGCTATTTCTCAGGATCTGGCAACGGGGATATGGGGAGTCTTTAGGTATGCTATATTTTCGAGGGTTTCGGATTTAGGGTGTAGGGCTGAGGGGTTAGGCTGCAGGGTCTAGGGTTTGCAGTAACCTGCAGTGACTTTACGGTGACGGCGGTGACGGTACGGACTTGGTCACGCCCAGTACAGTACAGCACCAGGAACCGGGGAAATGTAGGAGCTTGAGCAGGTACAGTGACATATGCCTGGCATAATTCCAGTAATCACCTCCTCCGATAAAGTGACCCCACTCGACCCCTAATGACACATCCCGCCTACATCAACATGTATTATTAGGGGCGAGGAGTTTTGTTATGGTGGGGAGGTGATTTTAGTGCACCCTTGGCCTTATTCAGGCCCCCTGCGCTGTCAATGATAATGTAGACCCCAGATTAATAAAGCACCTCCCCTGAATAGTGATTATAATGGGGATGCTAATATTAGGACCCTTAAAGGGGGGGGTTATTCATCATGGGGCTACATTCTCCCCACACCTAAGCCCTAAATAGTAGTTTCCATTTTATTTTCCATGATCCCCATATAACCCCAATATAACCCCTTTATTAATCATGGGTCTGCATTAGCAATGGATGCTTATGTTTTCTAGCTGCTGACCTTGGGGCCCATTCTCTCTAAGATGTCCAAAGAATGAACCGTTCCAATGAGTACATGGGGATTACATGTGCGTTATATATAGGGGCTTTATAGGGGTTATATACGGGGCTTCATAGGGATTATAGAGGGATTCTGCAGCCCTGGGAATCTATATGCATCCTTGGGCCCGTTCCTAGGATTGCGGTTGTTTAGGGTTTAGGGTCTTAGGGTTTAGGGTTTAGGGAGGAACTTAAGTTTACGTAGTTGCCGATGATATAGGCACGGTACATGGTAAACACTACGATTTCTTTATAGCTTACTTAGCCGATAGTAGAGCTTCAACCTTTTTGGCCTTCCTTTTTGTGGTATCTATAAGGAAGTTTGAACTTTTTTAGCCCTGGTAATTGGGGAATAGAGGTAATGGCAACTTTATTCAACCCAGTCTCGTTGGGACAGGCGTTGGTAGGGTCGCAGTGGATGAACGAGATGCCGGATGAGTCCACCACTGTAAAGAAGGCCGGCTTTACAGGGTGGGTGGGAGGAGTAATCATTTCTATTGGTGTGTGTGTATATATACATATGAGCCATAGTCCAAACTCCTTAAGGGGGCTTATATTGGGGAATATATAGGTGAGTACTATAGGGGTTATTGAGGTGGATACTAGGAGCTTAGCCTATGGCTCATAATATATGATATGCACGGCTTATTTATGTATGTACGTCTATTGGTCGGGTTGAGCTTCTTCTTTAGTGTTTATGGACTAGGTTTGGAGAATGAGTCAGTAGAGCTCGTGATCGGGATGCTTGAGCCATTGTTCTGACGCCTGCATAAGTCCAGAAGCAAAACGGGACTACAGTAGCTTTGAGGGATTGAGACGTAACACTTACGGATTGGGATTTAGGGTTCATCGCAGCTCAAGGAACCTTCGAGATCCCTGTGGGTATTTCCGGGTTGAAGGATGTCAGCAGAATTCAACAGAGTTTCGAACGGTGTTCCCCGAGAAGTGAGGGGGACAGTGCAACAAGAGCGGTCGGTTACGATGTGGCAGAGATGGCGGTCGACCCAGAACATATATCACGGCTGCGACTGCTGCTGCCGCCGCCGCTACTCTGCTGCGCCTACGGCTGCTACTACTCTGTAGTAGCGGCGGCGGCGGTGGCGGCGGCGGCGGCGGGGGTGGTGGTGGTGGTGGTAGCAGCAGCAGCAGCAGCAGCAGCAGCAGCAGCAGTGGTAATCAGAATCAACTGGGCAATGTCGGATTCACAGTGTTGGTGCCTGGGCGGTTCAAGACGGCGGTGTCAGAGATATGTACCGCCCTTTCCCGTAGCACATCTCAGCGAGTAAGGCCAGACGCCCCGAACAGTCACGCGCGGTGTAGAGAGGGAGGAGTAGTCTACCAGTCACTAGTATAGCCTCGCTTTTGTTGCTTGGGCCGGCAAGTGAAGTACCCATCCGATTGTAAGGACAGAGCCACCCTTGCGGACCCAATGCACGCATCAGGTCAAAGCTCCATCCAAAAGTCTAAAAATCCCCAACTCAACAATTGCAACAGCGGTGGTTTGAACATGAAAGCCATGGATGGCAGAACATCGCGAACAGAAGATTCTAAACGGCCTGCAATTCCACAGCTCATCTAAACATCTCGGAGCACGTGATTTCGAGTGTACTAGAGATCGAAGCTACCAAGCAACATTTGGTCTTGCTAACTCAGGTGATCGTTCTCGTCTGCTGCGTTCTCTGGGGGACAGTGGCAGCGGTGCCATGGCATCACATTTCGCAGTTTTGCGGTGCAGACTGTGCCTTCTGTAACCTTTGTCCATAACCCAGGCTCCCACACATGCGTCTGAGTTCACTGAGCCTTGCAAGGTGATAGCGCGAAAGTGCCAGAACAGCATAGAGAAGGCGCTGGGCGAGGCCTTGTAGCTGATATCGTTTTGGCCTTCGTGGCAGGTGCTGGGCGTTTTGTTCGGTATCTCCCTGGGACTAGCTGCAGCAGGCCCAGTTCCTTTAGGGAGTTGACGTGCCGCTTGTCTAGTGTGATTAGCAGATCCTGTTTAATCAGGATTTTGCGCGCCAATGCTGACTGAGGATTGGGTTTCCCCAGGCCAACCCGTGAAAGCAAGACCAATAGCCATGGTTTGGTCCAACTGCGAGATCCGGGTGCATTGAAGACCTAACATGCAGCGAAGCCTCAACAGTAAATCCTAAACCACAAAACCCTAAGACCCGAAGCCCAGCCCCTAACCCAGCCCGATGCCTAGCGACAGGCATCCTACTGTACGCCTTCCATAGGCAGCGGGAGAGTTGGCTTCAGGGTTTAGGACGTAGGGTTTAGGGGTTATATACATGTTCTGACCCAAGTTATCTACCGATTGCTTCCAGATTGATTCTACCAGCTGCACGCGGTAATGACCTCTCACTCAGACTAAGCCCCCGAACCCTCTATTATGTAAACATTCCGAATACAGGATAGGATGCCACAATGGAGCATTTAATATCAGGGGCTTGTAATATTAGGGGGAGGGATTTGTGAGGGTTTAGGGGTCGAGACAATCCAGCCCCCTTGAAATCAAAACTCCCACACTACCCTGATGCTAAACATTCCCACTGTGGTATATCATGCTATATATTTTTTGTACCAAAAAGTGATATGAGGGGTGGGTGGGAGGGTTTAGGGGATCGAGTTACAGAAAAACATAAAATGGGTGGCCCGGTTATCTTTAGGGGGTACCGCAACCGATGAACGTAAATAGTAGGCGCATACGCTTACAATCTAGCAACTGCAGGTGCACTAGTGAGCGCAACAGCTGTACAAGTAATGAGCACGAGAACGGATGGCTTGAGCCATTGCAGGGTAGAGCGCCGCAAGTCTTAGAAGTTCTGCCGACGCCCCAAGCCCCTACACCCTGAGTGCCAAAACTCAAAGCCTGCAGGCCTCTGGAAAAAGCCATCGGGGACGGCTACAAGGGTTGGGAGCAGTTCGGAGGTGGAGTTCTGTGCCAGAGCGTGGGCGTGTCTCCAAATGATATCCGTGTAGGGATGCTACTATTAAGACCCTCTGACCACCACTATCTTGTTTGGGGGCACATAGGGGAAAGGTCCGTGCAAGGAAGAGATTGCTAAGCATGGCTTTAAGCAGTCTACAGCGGGATCAGTAGAAGCTTAGTGAGTGTATGTATGGGATGCCCTTGCACGGGGACTGTAGACACAATTCCGGACATACATTGAGGTTGTGTGACTATAATGTTGGGAGATGTCGGGGTAGGTGGACGTAATTTTTGGATGATAGCAGCGTACAAGCGGCCCTGTTGTAGCTCGGAAAGCCGCCCATGACGCATTCCTTTTGGGCACAGTCCCGCATGATCACGGAGGCCTAAGCCTTCGCAGTACACTAGTTGTGGGGTTGTCAAACTCATGGTTTTTCTATATCATCAGATCCCATAAAGATCAATTTGGGAATTCGCTAGCATTGTCACGCTACACTCCTTGTATTCATTCTTACCATGTTCTTCGGGTTCCCTACTCCGGGTTCGCATTGGGTCTCCCTTATTCACAGAGAGTATCTCCTCGGGCACACTCCCAATCTGAGAAGTTTTCACATGGGAGTTTCTTCGAGCTGTGCCTGTGCAATTACCCCCAAAAAAGCTCCCTCAGCTGTGTATAATCCTTGCGCCTTCGGACATCCATTCTTTGTGTATTGCGTGGGACCCTAAACCTATGGGCTCCTCTAACCACCCACTACACCATCCGCTTCCAAGGTTCCCCTTTAGATGTCCTCCAATCAGCCTGAAGCGGAGGGAAACCTGCGAGTTTGGGGTAGTAATTAGCCCCAAACCCTAAGTTGGAGGTTCCCATGATACCCCTTGAGCCCTGAGAGCAAATCTTGCATGCAGGGATCACCGTGGGAGTTCCTTTGGCTTGTCTGACCGGCTACTTCTGCAGGCACAACAGCTTTATGCGCTGCGCTGTTATCTTACTGTGGGTTAGTAAGAAATGAGGGAATATAGGGTTTAGGGTTTAGGTTCTAGGGTAGGGAATAAGGAATATAATGTACAGGGATTATGTAGGGCTTATATTCCGCTATTCACTGCTAAACAACAGTAAGTCATGGGATCCCCAAGAAGAGAGAATCCACCCTAGACCCTAAACCTTACCTGTGTAGGGTTTGGAAATTGGGATTCACGGATTTGGAGATCCCAGCTGCAAAAAATGCTAGGCAAGTTACGCAGCATTGGCCAGTATCCCCTGCCACGCCCCAACAATCCCAGTGTTTTTACTTAAAGCTTGGCAGGTGGAATCCCGCTCTGTCCATAGCATTAAACCTTACACCCTAAACCTAGACCCTACATGTAGGTGAGAGTACAAATGAGGGACTACAGGTGAACGCCTGGATATTACTTGTATGTGCTCCTCCCTGGCTTTCAGGGACCTGCTACCATTGGAATTGTCTGCTTCTGAAATGGCCGGAATGCCTGGTGTCCCAGGAATCCCTACGTATTCAATTTAGGGTGTAGGAGGGGGGTTCAGGGTGCCGGGCGAAGGAAAGATAGCAAGGGTTCGGTGGCCAGGGTTGCTATCTAGCGCAGATTCTTTCAGCGGCAGGAAAAGACAAGTGGCAATAACCTGCAGCAGTGTAGGCTCCAATGCTACTGGCCTCATACACTGCTAGTGCTAATGAGAAACACATTGTGGCAACTTGCCCGACCCATTGGCCTCCAAATGTGGCGTTCTCGCGTTTGTCGGATGATTGTTATTGTAGTATACTATGGTATAATATAGTACAATATACTACAATATGGTATAACATAAGTATACGATAGTATAATATAGCACAAGATAGTATAATATAGTACAAGATAGTATACTATAGTACAATATAGTACTTTATAGTATACTATAGTATTCATGGATTGAATTTTGACTGCTACAGTCCCTTCCTACTGAGCCTTGCGGCGTCGCCGCCTTTGAAGCTTAAGATTGAATAGTAATAGAAATAATAGCAACAATAGAAACAATACTGATAATGATAATAGTAATGGTATTGCCCCCCTTCAAGTGCCTACAGCTAGAGGGGTGGGATCCTTTAGGTTGGGGCCGGGGCTACGATACTTTTGACAGATTCCAGCAGCGATGCAGGACCTGGGTGAAGCACCTCATCATGCTTGTCACAGCCTTCTTTGGAGCGTGGACTGCGTGGCTGTGCGCTACCAGTCTTTTGAGGTGTGCAGAGGCCGGTGATTTGTAAATCAGTGGCTGTAAAGAGACGGCTGCTGGCCGAACATAAGAATGAAATGGCCGCGAGCTAACCCTGCCTGTCCCTGGTCAAGCCCGTCCCCCAGTCCTCCTCCTCAATTGAAATCATTGGAGGAAAGGCAGTTAGGTGATGGGATGTTGCGAGCTATACAGCCCTTGTACAGAAGTCGTGACTCCAGTGAGGGCGGTAGGGGGACGGAGGTATTCTCAAATTCTAAATCCCCAACCAAAGCCCTAAACTCTACACCTGAGAGGTGGAGTCCCAGCTGCTGCAGCGGCACATCATCAACTTGATTATCGTCATAGGCGAGAGCTGCCTTGCTTGAGCCGCTTGCAGACTCATGGGTATCCCGTATATAAGCGGTTATGGGCGCCCTATACTGTTACGTAGAAGTATCGAAGCTGATTCTTGTCTATGTCACAACTACCTTAGGAGGAACCTCCACCCTGTTATAGTGGTACAATAGGTGTATAGTGGGACCATAATATAATCCTCATCATCCCTTGTAGCCACGATTACAGGTTTGGGGGTCCACCTAACAACTACCCAAGAACCTCCAAGCGCTGGTCGATAGGGTTGGGAGAGTGACAGGGCCAACAGACACGCCTCCCTGAATCCTAATATAGTGCAAGAATATAGCATTGATATAGTAAGAATATAGTAACAATATAGCAATAATATAGCAACGCTATAGTAAGCCTCCATTCCTTGTTTACGAACATATTTAGCAGAGTTGGTGTCCTCAAAATCATGGGGTTTGCTGACACAAGGGCCTGCATGTTTGATAGGGCTGACATTTACAATGGTGCAAGTCATAGAGAAGCCACAAGTAATACCAATGTTACTCCCTTGCAATCCCTGCAAGGCACCCCAAACCCTATTCCAATCATTTAGGCCCCACATTGTGGCACTGCACTTTTTGGATCTTTTTGGCAAGGCCTTGGAGTCCTGGGGCTTGTTGCGCAGATCTTGTGGCAACCTCGAGGAGAGCGGAAGATGCGCACCCTTGTCGAACATCAGAGCCGCGGTTCGGGGTTTAGGGCTGAGGGTTCTTGAAGGTTTAGGGTTTATCTAGGGTTTTGGGCCTATTTAGGGTTTAGGGTTGTTTTGGGGTCTAGGGCTCTAGGGCCGAGGGCGTCAGAGTTTTTACCGCGATGTCTCCTTCCCCAGACCACTGCCCCTTCTAATCAAGACTTACTAGTATTGCACTAGAACATGACATTTGGGAGCATTTACGACTTGCGGGTCGGGATTTAAATCAGAGTGAGGAGAGTAAAGTTACGTAAACTTCCTGAAGCCATGTGATAGTATGTGAGGTTTGGCTCCAACGAATAGCTTACGGATTCGGTGCCAAAGCTGAGGTGAAGTGGCCGGTGCCGATGGGGTGTGATGTGTCTGACTTAGATGCAGCCCGCGACAGATCACAGATGATCACAGTCTGTCTTCTAAGCTGACGTCTGTAGTCTCCGTGTGCTGTAGGGTTTAGGGTTTAGGGTGTAGCTTTTGTGCTCACTGAAACTCCGAGAAGGTGACGAAGGCCACCAACATGTACAGGGCCCGTCGCCGGATTGCTAGGTTCTGCGCAGGTCCCTAAATAGCAGTATCCATTTTATTTTCCATTATCCCAATATTACCCCAACATGCTATAGTAGTTTCCATTTTATTTCCCCTTATCCCAAAGCCTCGCTCAAAAAGTTTATTGCCGTCCCCTGACCGGCTAATTCAGATCAGTGATGCGTTGGAGAGCCACTCCACTCAAGTGCAGTCGGGTGGTGATCGGGGTTCATGCTCTGGCACAAGCCTGCATGAACTGGTGCATCAAGATTCCAAGCATGCTGGACCTTCGGGCAAGTGTGCTTGATGCCTGATTGGTAGAAGCCCAGGCAGGCGTGCATGCCCAGAAACAAGCCCTGTGCTGCTCTGGGTTTAGGGTTTAGGAGGTTTAGGGGGTTTGCGGCAGAGGCCAATAGCTGGAGGAATGGATCCCTATAGCCCACATATAATACCCCAAAGTACAGTTCTTTCCATTTTCTTTTCCTTTCATCCCGGACGAGCAGCTTACAAGCATCTCCATACTGCACCTCCGAAACTGGGGGTTAGTAGGTAGTAAGGGAATTTAATCACCGTATAATCCCTATATCCTTAATGTAATACTGGGATCCTATTATACTCCTTGTTAAGGGGAGAGGGTTCATTAATCAGGGGTCTACATTCTTCCCTACTCACCCCAGTAAGACACATGCAGCCCGGAAAGGCTCAAAGTTGTAACTTGTCCGTAGACCGCCCTTGGCGGGGTCAGCGGAGATGAATGGTACAACTGTCAGGAACTTGGACTTGGCTTTCCCAAAGGTTTAGGATTTTGGGGTTTAAGGGTTTGGGGTTTTGGGGGCTTAAGGGTTTAAGGTTTTGCGGGTTTAAGGGCTTTGGCGTTTTGGGGTTTAGGGGTTAAAGGGTTTTGGGGTTTAGGGTTTTGGGCTTAAGGGTTTTGGGGTTTAAGGGTTTTGGGGTGCAACTTAGGGGTATGCACAAAATGCACAAATTATCCTTATCGGGAGCCCCTGTAGTGGAAAGTATTTGGGAGTGTTGAAGGGGGATCGCGAATTTTGGGAATTTCCAGATAGGGGATGTGAACAAATGCTTCTAAACAAAATATGTTAAGGTACGAGTGTAGAGATCCATGCTTCCGCTGACACAGTGCAAGCTTGTCTCTGTCATACTTGTAATCGGCTAAGAGCTGTGCGTAGTTAGCAATCTTGAAGCCATGAATCCTACATCACAAGCCCCAATCCCTTTACAGAAGGGAGATGCTCGTGTTGAGTCCTGAGACGTGGTGCTGTGAAGAATTCGACCTAAGTTACCATGATATGGACATATAGTAGATATTACGAATCCTTCCATATTAAGAATTTGAGTGTGAACCCTAAAGCCATTACCAATTCAAGCTCCTTAGTGGCAACCCCGAAAACAACTCGAGGCATTGCTTCGGACGTACGGGTCACGAGTCTTGCAGCTGCCTGTCCTGTATGGGCCTTAAGATCTGCGTTTGATGGCGGGATTTAGGGTTCAAAGGGTTGTTTGGTAATCCCGCCTCTACCGCATGGACCCTATGGCTGATCATTCTACGATTGTTATAGGGCCTTCATGCTGGAGGTATTGAAGGTTCACTGAAGATCCCTGCATTGTTGCAAATCCTGTAGGATCTATCTTTGAGCATAAGGTGGTGCAAGATTTCTGCCATCCGCAGCCTGACCCATTTCATTTTGATTCAGACCATTGACATGCATCTTGTGGTGATTCTTGCCAGACTCCTGGGAGGATTTAGAAAGAAGTCTTGGCTGCTCCTCTTCTTTGGATCGTTCTTGGACATCAGTTCCTCTTTATTTCTAAAAGCAGGAATTGGGAAGTTGTAGTTCTTAAGAGTACCCCAGTGAGGAGACAGTTGAGTAATTTATTTGGGATACTCTGGTACCGAACATAGAGTAAGATTATATACTTCGGTATAGCACTTTTATGTAAGGAATATAATCTTACTGGGTTCAACCACCAAACCCTAAATCCTATACCCTAAACCAAACCCGTTCACAACCTAGAAGTCCCTTCTGCTCACTTGTTTTCATCATAAACCCTAAGCCCTAAACTCTAAAACTCCCCCTTCATCCTAAACCCCTAAATCCCCAAACCCCTAAACCCTAAACCCCTAAACTCTGAACCTCTAGACCCTAAACCCCAAACCCCTAAACCCCAAACCCCTAAACCCTAAACCCTGCCATTTCTGTGGCAGGCTCTTGCACTTCTCAGTAGAGCCTAGAACGCTCATGCGTTCTTGCAATTCTTCTTCTGACTTGCCTGATGATACGTTCCGATCTTGGAACCAGCAGTATAACGACCTACGCAGCAACGTTGCCAGCATTCTTCTCAAACTGCAGTAGCTCCTACTGTAGATACAACTTGCAGTTGTGATTAACAAACATCACTTGTCTCACTTTGGACGCTCTGACTTCGGTCCGCATGTACCCTAAACCCCTAAACCCCTAAACCCCTAAACCCCAAACCCCTAAACCCCTAAACCCTAAACCCCTAAACCCCAAACCCCTAAACCATTTTGGCTCAAGATTTGGCCCG